ACGTACACATTGTGACATATATATTTTGTAATGTTTGATTATGATGACCTCATGATAAGAGAGATCACTGACAATTATACAATAGAAAGCTTGAAAATAGGCTTTAATCATATCTATTTTGATAAATTGGTACTTCTCGCAAAGAGAGAGAGAGAGAGATACGGTAGAAGAGAATGAATCACATGAAGCATTTAAAACCAAAATAGGGAAAATGCAGAGAGGAGCGGGTGAGTCACAGCCAACCAATGGTCCACCTCATGACTGTCACCATTTTGTCCCTCACAGATACACCCCTCCCTCAGTCTTGTCAATTCTCTCTTCTCTCCCTCTCTCTCTCTTCATTGTTTAGTTTGTCTCTTCCACCGTTGGAGTTATTAAAAGTGTTCAAATTATCAATGGGATTATTAGCACTATTCGACTATTTTTATTTTTAGTGTAGATTTTAGTTACATTTTATATATTTATATATGTACTCTGTGATACATCTAAAAAATACTTAAAAATTGGGTTTATTTTAACTAACAATATACAGTATTTGTATTTGTTTCATAATTTTGAATCAGATTTATTGATATATGGATGAGTTTCTTGTTTTAGACTTTAGCTATACAGCTAGGAGTTTCTGTAGCTAGAGACAAATACGAATTACCCACGGAGAAAACCATCATGCATGAATAATGCCACGTATGAATCATCTTGAAATTACCCATCATCTTTTTTTTTTTGTCATCTGGTTTTATATATTGAAATGGGTAAGGCCGAGCTACACCCAAGAGACCATAAAGGTCAACCATCAGAACAAACAACTGAACCACAAAAAGCCTAAACTAAGCACCATTGAAAACAATCAAGGGCCAATACAAAAGAATTAGGCAATCCAACCAACATCAAACAAAAACTCCTCCTTACCATCAAACAGAGGAAAAAGGAACTCTCTCATCTTCAAAGACACCCCTCAGCCAAAAGGGGAAACCAGAAGCGACATAGGATTGCAACCTAAAGTCCGAAGTCACACTTTGAGCAATGAGAGAAGCTCCTCTGTTCGTACTCGAGGACTCTAAACACAACTTCCAAACCACACCTCCTGACAACAAAATCCTCAGTTCTTGCTCTTGAAACTTGAAAGAAGGCCAAGCTCTGGGTCGATTTAACACACCAACCAAAACATGATCTTGAAGAGCAAAACCTACTCTTGAAAATCTGTGGGTCAACATACATTGTATACCCCACTGAAGGCAAGCAAAGCTAGCCTCTTGAGCATCTCTCAAATCACTGAAAGCTCTCCTACTATGTAACAAAACACAGCCCGTATGGTCCCTAACAACCCATGCCCCTCCTGCCAACCTGTTTTTATTAGACCAAGAAGACGAAATATTACACTTCACCCAACCAACCACCGGAGGTTGCCATTTATCTCTGGCCAAAACCTCCTCATGTGGAACACTTGATATCGCCGGATCATCACCCATTTCCTCACCTTCAGCCTCAATAATCTGAGCCTCAAACCAATCAAAAACATCCTCTCTAACCTTATCAACAGATTCCAAGGCAGAAAAACATTTACCATCAAAAGCTAATGCATTCCTATTCTTCCAAATTCTCCATAGAATCCATGGGAAACTTCTCCTTAATTCCTCCGGCCATTCTTTATTCTTACGGTTAACAAGCAAGTGATGGATATTTGAAAAAACAGACCCATTCTGGAAACCAAAAAGAGGATTGGGGACTTGGGAAAGAGCCCACACCTGTCTAGCATACGTGCACGAAAATAAAACATGGAAAGAGGTTTCCTGTTCCATTCCACAAACCTGACAAGTATCATCCAGAGACATACCTCTTCTGTTTAAGGCATGGACTGCAGGGATAGCCCCACAAAGCATCTTCCACAAAAAAACTTTGATTTTTGGGTCAGTTTGCACCTGCCACACTTCTGCTTTTAGATCATTAACCGAGGGTAATGCATTTGCTTCCACAGCAACTATGGAAGAACTTTCCTGAGAGGCCAACCAAAACGCAGATTTTACTGAAAAGTCACCAGATTTATTGAACTTCCACACCCAATAATCACTTTGGGAAACAACCGGTTTGATCTTTAAAACTCTAACGATATCCTCCGGGAAGAACAGATCCGCCAAAATGTTTTGGTCCCAGTCTCTAATACTTGGATCAATGAGGTCACAGACTCTCAAGCTGACATCAAAGAAATAGTTTCTTCTCATCGGTGCTCTCATACCTTCTTCCTCATCCTCAATCCATGGATCAATCCATACATTCCATGATTTTCCATTACCAATTCTCTTTTCAATACCCTTTACAAGAAGCTCTTTACCATGCAAGATGCTCCTCCAAGCAAATGAGGGTCGATGATGGGCAGGAGCTTCCAGAAAACTCTTCTCCGGAAAGTATCTACTCTTCATAATCCCAGCCAAGAGACAATCAGGATACTGAAGGATCCTCCACGCTTGTTTGGCAAGCAAAGCTTGATTAAAAAGAGGAATGTCTCTAAAGCCCATACCACCTTTGCATTTTGGAAGACACAATTTCTCCCAACTTAACCAATGTATATTTCTTGAATGCTCACTGGAACTCCACCAGAAATCTGCCATAGCCGACGCCAAATTGTCACAGGTGGTCTTAGGGAGCTTAAAGCATGACATTGCAAAGATAGGCATGGCCATAGCCACTGATTTTAGTAATACCTCCTTTCCTCCTTGAGATAAATTCCTTGCATACCAACCCGAGAGCTTCACATTCAGTCTATCTTTAATATAGCTTAGTAATTCAACTTTGGATCCACTGAAACATTCGGGTAGACCGAGGTAAGTGCCTGCCCCTCCCTCATTAAAAACTCCCAAACTGAGCTGAATCTCTGTTTTTAAGACTGAACAGACCTTGGCTCCAAAAGTTATTGAAGACTTGCCTGGATTAATAACCTGTCCCGTGACAGACCCATACCAAGTCAGAATAGATTGTAAAGCCGAACATTGCTCCTTTGAAGCTCTACACAGAAAAAGACTGTCGTCAGCAAACAAAAGATGATGAACTTCCGGTCCATCCTCACTGAACTTGATACCATTTATTCTCCCATCTCTCTGAGTAGAATTCAGAAGGTGGGTAAGGCCTTCAGTACACATGACAAAAAGAAAGGGAGAGAGGGGATCACCCTGTCTCAAACCCCTCTGAGGAGTTATCATACCAAAAGGGAAGTCATTCATCAGGACCGAGAAGGTGACAGTAGAGACACAAGCCATAATCCATTCAACCCACCTTAAATGGAAACCCATAGCAAGAAGTAAAGCTCTAAGGTAGCACCATTCAACCCTGTCATTAGGCATGGGCGTTCGGTTAACCATTCGGTTTCGGTTCGGTTACGTTCGGTTTCGGTTAGTTTGGATATGGTAATAAGAAAACCATTCGGATATCTGAAGATCTTCGGTTCGGTTCGGTTTGGATATCTTTCGGTTCGGTTCGGTTCGGTTATTAAATCGGTTAACCAAAAATTAACCGAAACCGGAATAACCGATTAAAAACCGAAATAACCAAAAATTGACCAGTAACCGACATAGAACTCAAGTAAAAAAACAGACGGATTCACAACTTACAAAGATGCAAATATGGTCCATACTTTCCAGAATGTTAAAACACCTGATTCACAACTTACATAATAAAAAGAAGAACATACTAGTTCTAACTAGTCAAGCAAAAGAGATAAGAGAAAAGTGTCAAAGCACATTAAGCCGAGGCATTAGAGAAAAAGTGTCAAACCACACATTAAGCCGAGATAAGAGAAAAAGTGTCAAACCACACATTAAGCCGAGATAAGAGAAAAAGTGTCAAACCACACATTAAGCCGAGATAAGAGAAAAAGTGTTAAAGCACACACTAAGCCGAGATAAGAGAAAAAAAGAAACAAAGTTGTATCCGGACCAAAGCTTGCCATTCCCATTAAGCCGAGACTGCCGAGTCACGTTGCGTACTCCAAACTCCAAAGCAGCCAACAACTTCAATATGTGACAGTTCCAAACTCTACATAAATAACAAAGTTAACATTCACATTTCAAAATAACAAATGAAACATCATTTACAAAGAACAATATGTACCTTTCTCAAGAGTATCATGCAGCTCAACTTCAGCAAGGAGTTGTTGAATGGTGATTAATCCTTTTTCAGTGAAGTGAATATCATCTTTCAGCCATTGTTCTGTGCACATTAAGACCTCTATCATATAGTGACTCAAACAACTCCTGTGTGGGTCTAGTATTCGACCACTAGTGCTAAAAGCACTCTCGGATGCAACATATGAGACTTGCATAGCCAAGACATCTTTAGCTATCTCTGATAAGATTGGGAATCTTCCAGACCTTCCACCATGACAACACATCAAACTCTGCCCCCATTAGAACATTTGGGTCTGCAACATCTTCCTTCAAATATAACTGTAACTCATTGCTTGCATCCTTGATTCCCTTATCTTTAACCAATTCCTTGTACAATACTCTCATCCTTTTATACTTCAGACTATGATCATCAGCTGCAACTTCCATTTTATCTGACAAATCACCATTAACTTCTTGACCATTATGAGAAGTAGCTGCAGCCATAAAATGCCTTTGAGACTGAAAGAGAGGTCCTTCTCTTTGCCCGGTCAAATTACCAGTGTATTCTTCGAACAGCTGACGCAATACAACCTCTATAGAAGCTGTAAGTTGCTTCGTCACCTCACTGTCTTTCCCATAAAGCTCTACAAAACAAAGATTTGCAAACTGCATTTTGTTCCTAGGATCAAATACACTAGCAACAATCAGAAGCTTATTAATAGTCTTCAAACCATCCCAATATTTGTCAAACTTCTCTCTCATTTCATAGGCTTTGTCACGTACGTCGGCATCATTACTCATACACAATTCAGAGAGATTCATCTCGACTATAACAATCTCATCATAGCACTTGTGAGCACAAACTTTAGTAGATGCAGAAACTTCAAGTGTAGAGTTGTAAAAGATAATCAGGAAGCTTACTAGTCTTTCAATGTTCTCCCAATCAACTGAAGTAGGTGGTCCAACCCTTTCTTCCCCATCTTTGTCAACCTCAAGAAAGTAGTCATTGTAGAGTTTATCTTCAGCTTCCATCTTATCAAATGCTAACCTATACTTGATAGCTCTAGTTAGCATTAGATACGTTGAATTCCACTTAGTCTTTACATCCAAAGGCAAGCTTCCTCTAGTCATCCTACCATTTTCAACACGCAACTCAAATGAATTCCTTCTCTGAGTATTAGACCTCACATATTGGATCCCATTACGGACAGCAGTCACACTAGCCTCCACCTCCTCTAACCCTTCTTTAACTATCAGATTTAGAATGTGAGCAGCACACCGCATGTGCATAAACCTTCCACCTAACACCAACGAGTCATTTCCCAGTAACTTGAATACTTCTTTAAACTTCGTGAGTGCTGAAGTATTGGCTGTGGCATTGTCAACTGTGATGGTGAAGATCCTCTCTATGCCCCATTCAGCCAAACACTCCAGAAGAACAGCTGATATCGTTGCTCCTTTGTGATCACAAACATTCTTAAAACCAATAATAAATTTCCTTAGATTCTAGTTTGAATCAATGAAATGCGCGGTAATGACCATATAACTTGCACCTGTGACGTTAGCTGTCCAAATGTCTGTTGTAAGAGACACCCTCTGCTTAGTAGACTTAAACATCTTCTTCAAAGCTTCTCTCTTCTTAACAAAAAACTCCACGATGTCCCTAGTAGCTGTTCTGCGAGAATGAGGCTCGTAGAGTTTGCACTTCCTACAGAAATGTCTCCAAGCAATACACTCAACAAAGGATAGAGGTAATTGAGCCAATACCAACATCTCATTTGTAGCCTCCCTGTACACCTCTTTAGAAACCTTCCCCAATGTCAGATTACCACTGCCACCATCTTGATCTAAATTCTGTTGCTCCTTTTCATTCCATGCCTTGTATTCTTTGCAAGTACCCAGATGTGTATGCAAATTTGAAGTCCCAAAAGTTGCAAGACAACTCATACGCTTTCCACAGTAGTTACAGTCACACTTTTTTATATCTTTCTCAGTTTTTGTGAAGTGCTCCCACACAGGAGACCTTGAACCCGTTGGTATTTCTGTATTTTTCTTCTGCACCTTTGGTGGTGGCTTGGAGGTAGCTTCATTTGTATTAGTATTCCCTTTTCGTTTGCCTTTGTTGACACTTGCCGGACTCTCCATGTTATTAGCATCCACGTTTGTATCTTGATTAGGAAACGAACTTGAGTCCATCTACAAAGTAACAAAGAGAAGTTAATAACAATCTACTAATTCATTGCTCATGAAAGAGATCACACAAAGTCATGACTCATGAACGTGAGAGAGCAACGTCACTATGACACTACCTATGAATATGACTTTGTGTGTAAAAGCTTATGAATGTAAAAGCATATTATATGAGAGCGCAACGTCATCACTCACCAACATCACTATCAACGAATGTAAAAGCTTGTGTGTGAGATCAGAGAACCAAATGAAACAGAGAAGACAAAAGTCGAAACCAAACGAAATAAACTAAATGAAACAGAGAAGTCAAAATTCATTGAGGCATTTCATCAAACACTTGATAGACCAAAATTGATAAAATCATAAAATCATCATCCCAAAGATTAAAACCAAAAGAACATCTTTAATAGTCACAAAGTTGCACAAAAACAAGACAAAACAAACAGATCTTTAACATAAACTTAGTGCTAAGAACTACAAAGAGCTAAACAACTTATGTGAAATGACAAAGACAGAATAAATCATAAATCCATGGCTAATTAAGAGAGAAAATTCAGAGAAAGAGAGGATTCAAAGCTTTACCTTCGAAGATGACTGAGGCGAAGATTGATATGGAGTTGATGTCTCCAGCTTTAGCTATTTATAATACTAGGGCTACTGTCTTAAAGTCGAAGTCGGGAAAAGAAAACCAAACGTCCTCTATACATATATGATTGAAGTCGGAAAACCCAAACGTCCTCTATACATATATGATATATATATATATATATATATATATATCAAATATATGTATACATATGCTTCGGTTATCTTTTGGTTATCGGTTACTAACCGAAACCGAACTTTGAGACATATAATATCCAACCGGTTATTTTAAGCTATCCAAATCCGAACCGAACCATGTTTTTCGGTTCGGTTCGGTTCGGTTAATCGGTTAGCGGTTTTTTTGCCCAGGCCTACCTGTCATAAGCCTTTGACATGTCAGAGTTTAGAGCCATGAAATTAGCCGTTGTACTTGGATGGGTGTTGAGGCTATGAACAAGCTCATGAGCCACCAAAATATTATCTGTGATGAGCCGCTCCTCAACAAACGCAGACTGGTTCACTGAAACAATGAGAGGTAGAAGGGGCTGCAATCTTTTGACAATCACATTGGAAATGACTTTGTAGAGCACAGAGCAAAGACTTATAGGTCTGAGGTCCTTCATATCATTCGGGTGATGAATTTTTGGAATTAAGCAAAGGTGGGTATAATTCCACTCCTTAGGCATAACCCCATTCTCAAAAAACAGTTGCACTTCTGAGATGACCTGAGCACTAACCGTCTTCCAATATCTTTGGAAGAACAGAGCTGACATCCCATCAAGTCCTGGAGCACTAGAGGCCTTTATAGAGAAAACAGCTTCTTTTATCTCCTCTGCAGACACTTTTTCAATTAAACCTCTATTCATCTCATCTGTCACTTTTGGAATGAAACCCGAGAATCTCTGCTCAAAGGAAACCGGATTGGAAGATTGAAAAAGGTTAAGAAAGTAAGAGGCTGCGACCTCACCCTTTGCTGCCTCAGAGCTTTGCAAAACGCCATTGACATCAAGAAGTTTATCAATCCTCTTTCTTGATCTGTTGTCTTTGACTGTAGCATGGAAGAAATTAGAATTTCTATTTCCACTTCTCATCCATTTTTGTCTCGATTTCTGATGCCAATACAACTCTTCTTCCCTATATGCAAAAGCCAACTCTTTCTTAAGCGTGAAAACAACTTGACGATTAGGCCATACTTCAGATTGAGATTTTTCCAGGGCATCTTCACACTTGTGAATCTTTTCCTGAGAGTTCATATTGTTGTTTCTCTTCCAAGAACTCAACGCTTTCCTACAAGCCTTTAATCTTTCAGACACATTGAAACCCTGGTTTGCATTTCTAGAATTCCAAGCCCACAGGATTGCTTTTTTAACCCCCGGTTTAAACAAAAACCTCTTATCAAACCGAAATTGACCTCTATACGTCTGAGGAGAGGACATCAAATTCACCAAGACCGGTCTGTGATCTGATCCTCTCAAATCCAAAAACACTTGATTTGAGGCTGGGAATTGAGCTATCCACTCCTTGTTACCAAATGCACGATCAAGCCTACATTGTATCCAGTGATCACCTCTCCTTCCTGCCCATGTAAATCTGTTGCCTTGACTGGCCATTTCCTCCATATCACACACAGAAATCATCTCAGCAAAAGGTTTGAAAAAAGAGTCACACCTTCTAGGACCTCCGTTCTTCTCTCCATTGTGTAAAATGGCGTTGAAATCCCCCAACATACACCATCTATCTTTTCTGCTTATTCCAATCCTCATAAGTTTTTCCCAAACATACTTCCTTTTAGCTTCATCTGGATCCCCATAAACACATGACAAATAGAAATTTTTGTCACCAAACTGCACCTGAATATCAATCAGATTCTTATCCATGGAAATCACATCAACCTGAACATTATTTTTGCAGAAAACAGCTAGCCCACCACACTTCCCAATAGGCTCCATTGTCAACACTCTATCATAACCCATCCACACTTGCAAATCCACCAGAACATCTCTACCATGCATAGTCTCCATCAAAAACACTATCTCAGGGAAATATTTTTTACGTATCTCCTTGAGACGGGGAATTGCCAAATCATGAGACCGTCCCAATCCTTGGCAATTCCAACTGAGAAGGCTCATTGGGATTTAGGCAATCCCCCCTTTGGGATCACCTCTTGAGGATTAAGCTTTGAACTTTTTGCAGTGCTTTTTCCCCCATAAACTGCTTTCCTTTTTGAAATCAAACCCTTCTCAACACCTCCAGTAATGACTACGCTCCCCGGCGATAAATTTGGATCCACCGGCTTGGGCTTTCTATTATTTTTTGAAGGTCTTTTTCTGGCCTTACCTGTTTTCACCCCAGTCCCGGAAGAACCAGCCTCATAAAGGCTAGAACCAAACACCGTTGGACTGTTTTGAAAAGGTTGCGCTAAGGCTAGAAAAGAAGGAGAACCATCCATACCCACAGGCCACCTTGGTTCAGATAACCAACTCCTATCATTAATTTCCAAGGCTGCCATCTCCAAGTCTTGTGAAATCTGGCTTGGAGAAAATAAGGCTGCAGGTCCAGAACCAGTCTCAGAGGATAAAGCAGTCTCATAGTTAAAAACATGTCCCTTTCCTTTGCCAACATCAGAATGGAAAATGGGCATAGGCTCTAACCTTAAAATAGACTTATGGGCTAAGGGATCTTTCTCCACCTCTCCCACAGACTGCTTTACCTTATCAATTCTCAGGAGCTTCTCTTCTTCACTTGAGACTCGTAGATACTGTCTCATACCCTCTAACACAATAGGAGCAATACGCGGACGACCAGTGCTTGGATCTATACCCACCTGTTCCTCTCCCAAAACTCCAAAAAGTGGGTCAGACTCCTTAAGGAAAGGAGCTTTTTTAACACTTTCACCCGACCCTCCATCATGTCTAACACTCGTAGCATCTTGTCTCTTCTTAATGAGAAAAGGGCATACATCTTTCTCATGTGTCATTCTCTGGCATTCATAGCATCTTTTTTGTACTCTCTCATACTCAAAGAAAACCGTCGCAGTACCACCCTTTGGTAGATTCACCACTTTTGATCGTCTTAGAGGTCTTGAAACATCGAAGAGGACCTTTACCCTAACAAATTCTTCAATTTGTGGTTTATCTTTATCAAACACAACCTCCTTCACTTGCCCAATCTGATCCCCCAACAAAGTGATAGCTTTATGCGTGTAATAGTTAATGGGAAGATTCCAAATTTGGATCCACAGAGGCGTGAATTGAAGATAATTATCAGGAGGAACTTCAAACCATCTATCCACCACCACAGTCCATTCGTCAAATGTGTGGAGACCTTTCTCGAGCACTTCCTCCAAATCAAAAGCAGAGTTGAAGAAGAATTGAAAACGCTCTTTTGAGAGAGCCACACCACGCACTCTACCAACCTTTTGCCATTTTCGAGGCATGTTTCTGATTAAATTCTTCATTGATTGACATTCCGGGTTTAACAATCTTCCAACCAAACTAAGCTCATTCTCTTTACTTGATGAGTACTCAGGAAGATCCGGCATATCGAGAGGGATATCTTCCTCCTCAAGAGACATGGCCATCATCGCTCAGTCCATTGCCGACGACATAACTCAGTTCACGAAACCTCCAAATTAGCAAACAATTCAACGAAACCCAGCAGATCTGAAAGCCACCGCTTTTAGAAACTCTTTCACCGTACGAAAATCGCAAGAAACCAGAGATCCTTTCAAGATCAAGCCAAAAGAAGAAGAACCCTAGCTCAACTTTTAACGAAAGTGGAAGGAAAGGAGCTAAAAGCTCATAAACAGGATAGAGTCAACTAAAGGGATAATGTTTTAATCCAGTCAAAGCTCTATTCCACACTAATCAAAGACACTAGATGGAAAAGAGAGTCTTAAGCCCAAAAGAGGGAAACTTTTTGATTTTTAAATTACCCATCATCTTATTCTTGCAAAATTATTCAAATCATATTATCCTCTAGCTACTATATATTTTATTGTGATTAATTAAGATTCCACGTTTGCCATAACATCACAATTTCCCTGATCGTCAAGTGATGATATATGAATTCTTATTCGTAGTAATCAAATCTTATATGCGTATAGTAGATACACGTCATTGATGATACGACAATGTATCAAAGGAGCAGACAAAGATTTTTTTATGATCCATGGAAATGACCAAAAGATTATACCGTACGATTACACTTTACCATTAATCTTCGTTACAATTCATGTTTCTTTATTTCCTAACAACAATATCTATTGTTTATACTCCGTTCATAGGATCGTTCGTGTGGTAATCTGTTGACTGTACGCTTACCCATTAATATTTTCTCTTCTTGCTTTTTACTTTTTTCGTATAAAATTGGTTAAAGTGGTGTTTTTGCTTACTTCCATGCTCGGAAGAATCACAAACACACAATCATCATGGAAAAGAAATAAAGCAAATATACAAAGAAGAGGATCATAGGGAATGATAATGCATCAAAATAAGCAGTACAAACAAATAAAATTACCCACGATCTTTCTACTAAAACTATTAATAAAGAAAAAGGTCTCATTGAATCGTACAAAGAGACATAAAAGAATGAATGAATCTTTGGGAAAAGAAAGGAAAGTGTCGGGGCTTCTTCTATGAATAACCTATTCAGTTATTTTTCTTTTCCTTTGTCTTGTCTCTTCTCTACTCTAAAAGTCACTCTTCTTTCCTTTTCTCACGCTCCCACTCTCATATTTTGTCATTTTCCCCATTTAAAATTTATGGTGGCTTGGCTAGCTTTCTTTAAATTCTCATTCGTTAATCAAAAGTGAAGCTTAAATTTAGTTTAAAATGTTGTCAATAAAAATTTAGTTAAAAATGTTGAGTGTTGACAAAAAAATTAGTTAACAATGTTATGCACAAATTTATGTAAATGCAAATACAAACTAAAAATGTTGGTTTATCGAAGAGCTTTTTTTTCCTAAATAATTTTTGTTTTGGTCATAACTTTATCAACGAACTTAATAATTCTTTTGATCATACATTCATACTGGAAATGTTCTGTATGAGTACGTACACATGATGAGAGGACGTTAAATATGAGGAAGA